CACACACACACACACACACACACACACACGGATTAATCTCTATAAATCCCACCTCATATGTTAATGTAGATAAGGAGATCTATAAATTCAAAATGTGAGATAGTCAATAATTGTCAACAATTAAAGAAACAAAAAAAGCGTTGAGAAGCTTCTCACCAGTGAGTCTCTCCACGTTGTCAATCCACTGGTTCTTCATGGTGTCAAAGTGCTCGTACGCTGCTTTATTTCCAGGATTCTTCAACAGGATCCGAGCAGCGGAGGTCACCTGGATAATTGCAAACCACGTTTGTCAACCACGGCATGTGACGGACTAAAACAGCTTTGTGTTTCATCGGTGTCAATGCTACAGTATATCATGGGGACTAGAACAAACAGGAGCACCTGTGGCGTGAGCTCCCTGGCATGTTTCACAGCCGCGTGTATCCCCTCTACTGTCGTCTTATTGGCTGCTCCCACGGCAGCAGCCTTTTCGGCGGTCGCACCCAGCCGACCTGCGTGGGCCTCAAAGTTCCCTGCACGCTCGTCGAAAACCTGTCGCGAACACCAATGTTTATATTGTCAGATGTTGCACGTTCAAAATCTGGATTGTACATTATCAACAGAAATCAGGTTTATTGTAGTAACCTTGTTCACATAGTTCTCTGTTACTGACCTCCTCCCTGTTGGGGGCGTCAGGTGGAGCAGTCGCAGCCACAGCCAGCAGCTTGATAGGGGTGGTGGTGTCACTGAAAACATCTGACACCTCCTGGGTCATCACCTCCTGCATGTGCTGCCTCAGGTCCTGGTGGGAGCAGAGTGTGTCTTATCAGGCCACTAGGTGGAGCTCTGCACCAATACTTTTCAATTATAAGCACCATGCATGCATCTTACATGCAAACCTGAGATAGTTTTTTTTTACTGCAGCATTTGATGAGATGAAAATATTATATATGTGCTGCCATTTAAACTGATATTTAGAAATGTAGTGATCTTAAAATCACCTCTGTGGGTCTGGCTGCACAGCATAAGTTTCTAATGATAAACAAACTGATGTGTGTGTGTTTGTGAGCTACCTTGAGGCTGTCCTGCAGCTGTGCGGCTGTGGCTCGTGCATGAGGAGCCTCTGCCTCTCCCCTGGCTGCCATGTCTGCCAAAGATCCCATTAGGGCCTCTGTTCTGTCGCAGCGTCCAATCATGTCCTGTCGATACGGGCCTAACAAGCCTCCTGCCAACCTCCTCCCTTCTCCAACCATTCCTCTGATCGCTGCCTGACCTGGAGAAAGACACACAGCAGAATCAATCTTAAAAACTCAGATATAAAAATGACAGGTGCTTATTTGCAAATGGAGCATTTCTGGATTGCGGCACAGGAACGGGAATACAAGGGATGAGAAATGACTCATGACTTATTTTTTCTTGTTGTACATAAGTTGTCTCGTAAATTAGACATTGCGGTGTTATGTGTCACATGCTGATGTCATGAATTTCTAGTGTCTGTTTATATCTTCACAGAAAGTGTATTGCAGGCAGGTACCTGTGATCCACTGCAGCCTCTCACACTCTGCTCCCATAAGGAAGCATGGGAGGAAATAGGAAAAAGACGAATGACAAAACGGGGAAAGAGCAGCACGCTTAAAAACACACATTAGAAACAATGCAACGCTCCCTGAGTGACAGAGTAAGTCAGGTTAGTCAGCCGGTGATTAATGCACTAGGAAAGGAAGTGGCATCAGTCACCAGCTTGATTGTTTGTGTAGATCATTCAGAACTGTTTCCTTACTGACTCACAAAACGCCTCGCATCTTTCAAGACACCGTATCTGATGTCTAATCGCTGCCATAATCGCTCTCACACGCCCTTCATCGTAGGGCCGACAGAAGGCATGGAAGGTCAGAGAGTTTATTTTTAATACCAAACCACTACCTCATCCCTCCCCAGAGGCGGCATCCGACCGCACTCACCTACTCCTCTGTCGTCCACCCCGGGGTTGTTCACCCAGCGGAGGGCCTGCTCCATCTTGCCCTCCAAGGTGACGGCAGGCTTTGCAGGCCTCATGTTGGCCACGGCCCGGTTTGTTTTCGACTGAAGGGTCAGTAGCGCCGCACCGATCTGCTTTGCCAACGCACGGGCCTCTGGACTGTCACCTTTACCCCTGAGACAGCGACAGACAGAGATGGTTAAAAGAACAAATGAGAAGTCTAAACAGTACAATACAGCTTTTCAGCCTGAGATTCACCAATTCCCTGTTATAGACCCTCCTTAAATTAAAATACCATCATCGAAGGCTGATGCCACTTTTCCATCTGCTTTAGTCAGCATTAATTTTTATGTATTATGAGGTGGTTTTTAAAAGATTAGGGGAAGGGATATCTGGGTTCTCAGATGTGGGCTGAGTTTTGTTGAGCCCTGTTAAAAGGAGAATTTCTGTCATTGTGGACAGACATTAAAGTTTATCCATCTATCTATCTATCTATCTATGGATCTATCTGTCCGTCTCGTAGAATTACTTTATTTTTCTTTAGAAGTTCAGATATATATCGTTGGGTGAGGATGTGGTCAACACCTAGGTTTCTTTCTGGTTTCCTTTTATGGCCAATATACAACAGTGGAAATGCAGAACATAAAATATGTCCCTGGTGGTGACTCATCTTGCTATGAGTCACTAAAACTGCAGAAAATGTATTCTCATACTGTCACAAACCCAAACTGAAACTTACTTTAGTGGCATGAACCTTGAGGAAAGTGCTATTTTCTCTTATGGTTTCGTAAATTTGAATCCTCAAACTGACCCACCACATTACCACCACAGCCCAATCTGTTCCGCACCATATTCAAACAGTTAAAGACCTTATGGTTGGACTGATGCCCAAGGTTGACAGGCAACAACATAATTTCCAGGAAGGTAAAATATGCCAGCTACTGGTGACATGAGGCTGCTGTTTGAGCCTGGAAAAAAAGAGGATCTAGGAGTTACTTCTAGTAATCACTAGACAATACAAGGCGTGCGTGTGTCGTAGGAGGGACGGCGTACTGTTTGCGGAGCTCCATGAGTTTGGCGGTGAGTCCGGCGATCTCACTGATGGAGCGCAGGATGTCGTCCCTCTCTTTGGGATCTTCGCACAGATCAGCGATGCGTTTGGCCTCAGCAAGCAGTGCTCTGATGTTCTCCTCCCCCTCTGGACCACCGTTAGGATCAGCCAGCCAGGCCTAAAGAATTCACACATATGAAGAAGTTCTCCTCTGATGAAATACGCGACATAAATCTGCACAAAAAAACGCAACAAGTGAGCCTCAACTATTTGAAAAGTTCACTGAATGTCGAATGTTATAAGCATTTAGCTGTTTTCTCTAATCCACACTTTCATGGAATTACCACCCCACTTGCTGGAAATGAACTAAAAGAGGCAGAAATAGGACAAATGCAGGGAGGAGATATGATTCACCTGGGGGAAGGTTAATATGGATTACTGGGTTGTTGTTTTGTCTGACCTGTGCTGCGTCCAGCCTCCTGGCGATGGCCTGCTTGGCATTGATGAGAGCCTCCAGTCTGCGGGCAGCTCCGTCCACTTTGCCAAATAACAAGTCTAAGCCCTGCGAGCACTGGCCAGCACGCTGCACACACCCCGGGGTCGGGCCCTGGCCTCTGCACACAAACAATTGACATGTGACTGATGACAAATTATAATATGTTAGCACCGACAGGTTAATTCAAATTCCCTCATACAAACCTGGCTCGTAGATCTGCGATCTGGTCGGTCATTTGTCCCAGAGCCTTGGTTGTTGCCAGAATATCTTTCCTCTCCCTTCCGGCACAAAGCTCTCCCACCTTACCAGCTTCATCCAGTATCACACGCAGGGCCACCTCACCGTGGCCACCTGCAGACGGCAATGCACCAAAGGAAGAGACTGTGGGTGTGACATCTGAAGAGTTAATTGAGTTTTTTAAGCGTGAGGGAAAAAAATCCCACAGTTACCTGGCTGTCCATGAGGGTCTTTGAGCCAACTTTTAGCTTGTGCCATCTTAGACTCAATCAAAGCAAGAGATCTCTTCAAAGCCTCCATATCCTGAGGTAGAGAGAAAACACAGTATCGTGTGAGTGGACATTAAATCAAAAGGTACCATGTCACATTATAGTGCACGGTGTCTATAAACTAATAGATTGTTGAAAAGGTTCATGACTATTCTAATGATAATATGCTGAAATAAACTGTAGGAGCCTTAATAAAAGAACATGCTGATATTATTGTATATTTTTCTTACTGTCAACAAATCCCATCAGAGGAACCAGTGTGATTTTTTTTGTCTCTAGTAGTTTTCCAACTGCTTTATCCTGCCTGTAGCTCTCAGCCCTGATTCCATTCAGTCTTACTGAGGTTATACATCTTTAAAAATGGAGTCACTGTGAGTCACACACATGAGCTGTAGGTTTTCTCTGGAGATGGGATTGATTCAACATAAACTAGAAGGGTGCAAAGGTCAAACAGTCCCCTTATTAAACCACATTAATATCCACTAGGTCCAGATTTTGAAATCAAATTGCACATACTTATATCAGTCTCCTAAACATACCTTTTAAATGAAGATCCATGAATTATTCTCTGAAAAGTCAACAAAAATGTTGAATAATGCCCTATGAAAAAAAAGTTCTGGATCTGAACCATTTTGCCGTAATCCGTCCAAAAGTTTTTGTGTAATCCAAACGGACAAACAAAACGTCCTTGGCAGAGGTAATTACAGACCTGGTGTTCAGCTTCCATCTAAAAGATAAGGCAGGTTTTGGGTACACAAGTAATACCTGTTGGTTTTGATCTTTTGGTTGACAGGAATATAATTATTACCATTTTATTGATTAATAAAAAACATTTATAGCTTCAAACTTGTGGGTATTTGACAATTTAAATGTTCATAAGGGGTATTAGTTGGCTATTGATAAATGATTACTGTGCTAAA